CAGCAGTTCCTCATGGAGGTCCAATTTTCTCCACTCATACAACAGTCTCTTAGGCCTCCTTTAGTGTCTTTCCTTATTTCAGGTGTCAGTTCTCCACCGCTCTGCTTTAACTCTATCACCTTACCAACAATGGGATCTCCCCTCTGGGTGGCTTTCAACTCTGAACAGTCAAGTGTCATGAGGCTCTTTTCAAATTGGCGCTCAACATCCTCTTGACGTGCATTAAGAGCCATGACCCATGCAACATAATTCTCTTGTTCAACCTGACTTCCTTCCCATGTAGCCCGGACCACCTCCTCTGTGAGAACCTTGGTACATGTAGTCATAAACATGAACCACATGAACAACAAGAAACCACCACGTCCACGTCCACGTCAGCATTCGCTTTGACTGGTCTGTAGCGAATGTCAAATCTGTAGTCAGCTAATTCCCCTACTCACCTATGTCCCACAGCATTGAGTTTGGCCATCTTCAGGACATACGTCAATGGGTTGTTGTCTGTGAAGACTGTAAAGTGTGGTGCGTAGAATAAGTAACTTCTCACAGACCACCCTTTGAGCTTGATAGCAAGGATAGGAAAACTGTATCATCGTCATAATTTAACAACATAATTATCCTCATAACTTTGACACTCATTTGTATAGAGAATAAAAAAAATTGATGATAGAACACAGCCCTGTGGAGACCCTTGGATGTACAAAGTGTGTCTGATAAAACTCCTTTCATCTTAACCCTTTACTCCCTACAAATTAAAAACCCATACAGCCAGCCCATGACTAACACTGAACTCATTTACAAGTTTCTTAACTAGGATAATCTGATTAATTGTATTAAATGCTGAGGAAAAGTCAACAAACAGCAATCTGGCATATGAGCCCCCACTTTCCAGATGATGAAGAGTGTTCAGGAGTTGTGCATCATCCACACCACTTTTAGTGCAATAGGTAAACTGTAAAGTATTCCTAAATGTATCATTGCATACTTTCATGAGCTGTGACTTGACCTCCCTTTCCAAAGCTTTCATAACTAATGAGGTTAGAGCAGGGGTGCCCAACCCTGCTCCTGGCGATCGACTGTCCTGCAAAGTTCAGCTCCAACCCTAATCAAACACACCTGAAGCAACTAATTAGGGTCTTTAGGATCACTTAAAAATTAAAGGCAGGTGTCTTTGATTAGAGTTGGAGCTAAACTTTGCAGGACAGTCGATCGCCAGGAGCAGGGTTGGGCACCCCTGGGTTAGAGCAATGGGCTGATAGTCATTAAAAAAGTGGGACTTCTCTCGCTTAGGAACGGGTACTACAATAGAAGTTTTCCATAACCGAGGAACTATAGCTTGATTCAATGAGGCTTGAAACAGTGTGTAAGACAAGAAGGAGAAGGAACAAGAAAGAAGGAGACCAGAGGCCGTTTTTTTTAATGGATGTCAATGGAGGAGAGGCTTCACTATGCTGAATAAACAGCTTTTTAGAGGAAACGGCTTATCATTTAGGCTAATGAATCGACAGCCTATCTGCTAATCTTCAAGATGTTTTACACTAAACAATACCTTTGGATTTAAATTTTTTTAGAGTTTACCATGAAAAAAAAATGCAGTTTTATTAGAGAAGTCACTGGCTGCATTCGAAATCGCATACTCAATGAGTAGGTACTTAATTTCAATAAGTACTTACTTAACGAGCGCTAAAAGAGTAGGTACTC